CTTCGAAATCAAGCGTCTGAGTCGCCAAGTTGACCTTATCCTTAGTTAATTAATTAGCTTCGGCAGGATGAGTTCACAGGGAGTTCGTCCTATGTTGGGAAGGGAACAGCTATTAAAAGAGGACGCACTTAATACCAATGGTGGTGTATATACAGGGCGTCCCAGAGGTATACATACTGATCCTGAACCAGCATGTACAGGGGGTAATTCTGAGCTGAAAAGTCCGTTTCCACTTTAAAATCAGAAGTACCCCCTCGAAGAGATTAGGGTTAATAGGAGAGCCAATGACGCTGCAGCGTTAAGCGGCTGTACGTCCGTGTGGCTCCGCGCTTATGGGTGAGTGATGCCCCTTCCAGGCAATGACATACGGTTCTACGTTCACCCGTGAGCGACAGAGAGAACGGATGATACTACTCCCTTGATCTCTCGCTCTCTCGCATCACTCCAAAGAAATGTGTTTGCAGTTATCTCTTAAACAATTGGGTTGCGAGGAGTTTCCCATTGATTATTCTTTGTTGCAAATCGAATTTGCAACTAAATAATCTTATGTAAAAATCATATAAGCCCAATAATTTATTATATAATTGCAACAAACTGTTTGATAGTTTTTAATGGTTATTTAAACAACTATTCGGCCTACAACATTCTTCGATCAAATAATTTTTGTTGTAAATTAGATTTGCGACAAAAAATGATTTGTGGAAAAATCACTTAAACCATATTATTTCGATTTACGAGATAATTAATGATTAATCAATGACTGGGGGAATGAAAAGGGCATCCTCCGCGACTTTCGTAAATCGTGAGCAGTATAAATGTTTTTCAATTATTAATTGTCGATCGAAAATAATAAACAAAAATATGCGGCATTTTCTCACAACGATATTTTTTATGGAAATCGATACTCGTTTTTTGGCATCTCTTTTTCTAGCGATGATCTCATGTCCTTTTTCTTGGACTCATATGTTTGCGCCCGCGAATCTTTTGTTTTCCGGATTTTCTCAATGTTTATCGTCGGCGTGGTCATTCGTTTTGTGACAGTCCAGTGTCAATGACCGTGATAATGGTGCGTTTTACGGTAGTGGAATACGCGAGCATGGTGGCTGGGTACGGTGTTGCGGGGGGAAATGCAGCAAAACCTGCCCCACTTTATGTGGAGCAGTTTCCCAATGGGTTGGTTCCAGATCCTCGCACTTTTCGGAGTGCATTTGAGGGTTCTCCTCCCAAGGCACAGAGAAGGACGCCCAAGACGTGCGGATCGTGTCCAGCTGGAAGAGGCCATTCTCCAGAGCGTCGAGGAGTCTCCTGAGTTGTCCGTCCGGGGAATTGCGTCCGCCCTAGGCACCACCCGTTGCACGATTCATCATGTCATGAGGGTTGAGGGTCTGCATTCCTGGAAATTTAACCCGGTCCAGGAGCTGAAGCCGGAGAACGTGCCGAAGCGTATGGACAATGGCTCCTTGACAGAAGTTGCGATCCAGAGTTCATACGCAACGGGATCGTGAATCGGCACAATGACCGGCACAATTGGACTTTTGAAAATGCCTGTCTCATGAAAGAAACGAATTCTCAGTATCGTTGGGACAATATGAACACCTGGGGAGGGATAATTGGTGATGAAGTCCACATTTATCACCTTCCAGAACGTCTCGACGTAAGTAATGTTTGTCAGCTACTGTAAGGAAAATGATTGTTCGAAATTAATGTTGATTTTTTGCTTCAGGGTGGCAATTACTTGTGATTTTTCCAGGATGGTCTTGTGACTGTCATCGGGGACGGCCATGTGGAGAGAAATGTATGGTTCCAGCACGATGGAGCTCCAGCTCATACAGGTGTCGCCGTGAACCAGCTGAACGAGTGGTTCACAGATTGCTGGATCGAGAACAAGAGCGACCGGGATAGAGGTGGACATCGCCAACCACCTGCAGCGTGGCCTCCGCGGTCTACAGATCTCACACCGCTGGATTTTTTCTTGTGGGAGACTCTGAAGTCACAGATATACGCTCAGCATCCAGCGAATCAGGAGGACGTCGTCGCATTGCTACATGCTGCAGTTGCAGCCATCACCCCGGAAGAGCGGGAAGGTATGAGCAGTAATCTCCTGAAGAGGGCCAGACTATGTCTTGATGCAGATGAAAGACACATCCGGAACCTGCTTTAGGAAATACCTGTCTCCTTCCTATCGTATCCCGATGGGAAAACCTAAATCGGCCCTTTTCAGTGCCACCACAACTATTCCAGCAAGGATCCTCATCGTTTTCCCTGCCCCCCAGTCCTTTTTAAACACGGAACCTACAGCGCACTCCGTGCGCCGAATTTGAATTTGGCGGTACGCGTTGACCAATGAGAAATTAGTTTTACGCGTTTTGAGATATTTCAACTTGGGCGAACTTCATTTTTGTGTTTCTACTTTCATAAAAAGAATTAATTGTCGTTGCTGACGATTTCAGAAAAATCTTCACCAATTCCCTCCGCGTTTCAGTGACCGTCATTTAATTATTAATTATCCCATTGAATTCGCAACAATAATTATCTGTTTAGAATTAAACTAAGGTCCTTTGGGTTGCCATCAAAGCCAATATCGGCCATCTTCGACAATGATAACCGTGACCCATAGGTCAACGGTCACCAGCAAAATCTTCCAGAGTAAAATCAGCCCCCCCCCCCCCCTCAGCACACTGTTCGTTCTGGACATTGGACACGATAGCATCTATATCTATTCTGAACCTCACCACGTAAGTCACCGCAACTCAACTAGCTAATTTACCAAGTAAAATCCACTACTTAATTTACGTAATTGTTCAACTACTTAATTCAATATTAATTCAACCCGTACATTAACCATCCAACTTGTCAGCTTCCAGAATTCTAATCAGAATTATAACCATTTTCTTAACAACATCTATAAAGTTATTCCTTCACCTCAGAATTGTGAACAGTTGTTCTATTTTATTTATTGAATTGCTGGAAATATCGTCTGGATACAAAATAATTGTCAAGGGTGATCCCTCAACCTGAGAACATTAAAAAAAAATCTTTTCCTAGTATTGCTGCCTATTTCGAATGAAAAATGGATATTTATATTTCAAATTGATAGAATCTTGAAAATTTTCGCCTGATCGCAGGGTCATCTTCTGCCGGTATTGGTCGAACCAAGGCTCAAGGAGAGAGGAAAATCGAATTAGAGCAGGTAGCGTCGTTAAAAGGATGAAGCCGTACTCCCAACACTCACTAACGAAGCGCGGAAGCCTGATGAGCCAGAAGCGGGCACTGCGCCAAGGTACTCCTCCACACTTTCGACTCACGCCTAGGTGGGGGTGCTCTGCGCTGTAACGTACTGCCCCTGCTGCGGCATGGATATCCTTAACATTAGCTTCTCTTGAAGCGCGCTGAATTTAAATGTCACTACTGAACCCTTTGAACTACCCCTCCGAATGATCAGCCGCTGAGTGCCCGCTCCGTCTAACATGGAGCGCTCATACGCCGGTATGAGTCCTATGCTATAATATATTTCCTCTGATGATTTTTAACCTCACACAAAGTCTCCAAGGGAGGGTAAGTAAGGGATTTCAAGTGAGGATAGTGCTAGCCGACTCGGGGTATACACAATAGAGAAAAAAAACAGGATGATTCTAATTTTGGAAGAAAGCGGGACCAATTATAGAATACTGCAAGTTAAACGAAAGAATAGTTAACTGAAAAATAGCACCGGGTCATAGCAAAAAATATTAACATATATGAGAAGAGTAATGAGTGAGCGCAGGGAATACTCGTTGGGGCAGGGGGAACAGGGAAAGGGTACTCACGGGTAATATCGGCCACAAACTGGTTTTCCAAAATTTTCACCTCAAGGACTCCTACGTTTTTTCCTTCATTCTTATCTTTTAGTTTTTGCCCCTGTTTCCTGTCTTCCGTCCTTCTCAACTCATGGATTCAGGGCCCACTTTCTTCCTCCAAAATCTTGTCTCAAAAATCCTCAATAACTCTCTCATTTTCCCTAATTCATTCACTGGGGTAACCAAAATCCAAGTGATGACCATCCAGAATCGGGGATAATTGGAAGTCAGTCGGAGACACTCGGGCGACTAATTTGCCCTTATCTGACCCAGGTGGATTACCGTATAGTTTCTATGGTAGTCTCTTTCTCGTAAGTCCTCGCGGCATGATCACGTGATGTTCTGCTGTGTTCGTCGCAGCTGGGTGAGCTTACTGGGAAACAGGGACGGGGGAAGGAATTTTATGGGGGAATAGGTTGTCCACCGGTGGCGTACATATTATCCTAATTCGAGTAACAATTTAATTAATTAATTAAATAGGACCAGGGGAGAAGGATCAGAAATCTGCCTCATCACAATCTTTTTCACCTATTTGAAACCCATCCATACAAGGAAAGAAATTAATTCTCATCTTATAGTCAAATTTAACATGTAAATGTAGTTTTCCTACTGATGGATGGGCCTCAATCACGAAAAAGAATTTTTGTTCGTGTTAATCCAATAGGGAATATTTCATATCAATGCCCTACCTTTTAGAATCAGTCGACTACATCCGGCCTTTCTAACCATTATTATTGAATCAAATAATAATATTCAAAATTGTTTTTGAAATGAAAAAAATGTTACCGGAGAAAACAATATATACACATATATATGTATATCATATTTTTCCACGAGATTTCAGCGAAGATAGAAATAATCAGGACAGCAAAACGTCTTATACATTTCTGCACAATTCCCGCACCATTGTGATTTCTTCATTCTTTTTTGTCATCAGCGATATTTTATACCAAATTCTTCTACCTGCCCAAGAGTTTTCATTGAGGAAATTAAAATTATTTATAATACTCACTTGCAATGGATGATGGAGTTGACAGGAATTTTCGATTGATTTGAGAACAAACAATTGTTGGTGATTTTTTTCGGCGTCAAATATCTGACGAAAAATCGAAAGTATTTGTGATCACTACAAATACAATCACGACAAAAATAAAATAACAATCGTTAAATTTACATATGGAAAATATGTATTATTACAACATCCTTCTGCCATATCCAGTATTTATAATATTATTGTCGATCTAGAGTCAATAGTAGTAGATAGTTATGTAGGTGGTGGTCTAACCTAGGATCGGTGATCTTCTTTCAGTTTCAGATAACGAATTCGTAAAAATTGGTTCGGACAACGGTTCTACAATAACTGTATTTACACCATGTCGTAACCACAGTTTAGATAGATGAATATTCATTCTATTAAATATTTATGTCTCGTTGTTGTAATTGGTTACAACGCAAATACCAATTCATCAAGATAATAAAAAATGTCCGAATTGAAGTCTTTGCATTTCGTCAATCTCTATCATGTAAAAGGCACTTGGTTCAGTTACGCCCCTCCCCCACATCTACATACACTATGTTAGTATTTTTTTTTAATGAAAAAATAAATTATCATACAATCTGTGTTAATAGAAAAAGAGTATACGTCTGAGAAGCGAATAAAATATTCGAAATAGAGTTCTTTCTTCTATAAATAAAATGCATGAGTTCAAGAATTGATCTTCGAAAATGGAAAATCAACAAATAAGCTTACACGATAAAGAAAAAATGGAATGCCGAAAGAACTGCGGACTGCAATTGTATGAATGATTGACAAGATCTCTGGGCGTTTTATGTAAGGAATTGCAACAATGAGAATGTAATCTCGGTACTAAATTAAACTCTCCAAATCTCACAATATTAGAGTGTGATAAACAGAAAAATAGTAGTTTTCTCTTACAATGCTTTTTCCAATAATTTCTATCAATGCAACTAATAATAACAAAATTTAAGGACCTTAACAAAATGGAACTGACAAGAAACAATTTAAATTTGTGCTGGTTCAACGTAGTTTGCCGGTAGCATTCCGTGACGTCCAGTTCGTTGAACAAGCCCTGTCATCCACCCCTCGTCGATCGCAGTGCAATTTATAATGAGATCCCCGTCACAAAAACTCACTTCGTCGGAATCCTGCGCCTCGTAATCGTACATTGCTCGATACACCCGCTGAAAAAAATTTTGAAAAAACATCAAGAATATATATGTAGAGATGTAGCTTTATACTTTTTTACATGACTGATTTTAAATAGGTACTTAAACTTTGACTTTATAAGAGTAAAGTTATGCCCTGCAGAACATTGCATTGTGCTATTCTAGTTTATGTTTCTATATAACTGTCGGGATCTTAAGCGCCTATGCAACACTTTAAATTGTTGGAATATATATACATGCACTGAGAGAAAAATGTAGTAGTTTCAACGGAATATGGTGCCAACCACGCACGTTCTCTTGTTTCGAAATAAAAATTGACTCGATTGATGTTAAAATCGTTGATTTAATGAATCTATTTCTAAGGTAATGAAATTCGGTTTCGATACGAGAGAATGCGTGTGGTTGGCACCATATGCCGTTGAAACTACTACATTTTTCTCTCAGTGTGCCTACAATGGCATGCTGTAACGTACGGTGCTGAATGGATCAGCTGGTAGACACTCGACCGCGACACTAGGACCAATAAGTTACAAGTCCATCACTCTATTGACTTTTCCATCGTAGGCCGAAAGCACTTCGTTTCTTTACAAGATTTTCGATATAATTTCGTCAGGATTCGTAATTATATGTTAATCAGATTATAGCCACTTCGGTAATCAGAATCAATAAACAAACATGGGATCTACTTCATTCAGAATCAAATCATTGCTTGCATGAATCCATGAATTTTAGAGCAGATTCATCAGATTAATGTGTTTGATATAATACTATCTAATCATCGGTATGTTAATCCACGAGGTGACACCATCACTAATAACGATGTAACACCTCCGATGTTACCATCAGCGAATCCGCTAACTGCATTATCAACCGAGTTAAGACAGCGACGAAAACAAGAACTGCTCCTGGACGAAATAACGTTTGAGTTGTCACCGAAAACACAGCATTATTTCGATTCTACACGTGACACTGCCGTAGGCAAATATCTCTTTTGTTCGACCCAAAGTTCGATAATATTGTTCTGCAAGATTTTGCCAAATGGAAGTTTAATATGAACGCCGAATAAATTGCTTTCTGCTCCTCCGAACCCGTGGCGTTGAGATACGCCATGTATAGCTGACCGAGTAATACTCAAGCCTCGCTGCGACTACGGAGGCCGATAACTTTCCAACAGAGAGTAGTCAATGATCGACCTTGATACCAACCCGGAGAACAACAAAGAGCTCCATTGATCAATACAACTACCCAACGTCACCATATAGTTACCGCTTCAGATTGCTTGCCTTCAGCAAGAACTAGCCTCAACTGATCGATCAGGCTGATTCTATTTGTCAGGCCTACCACCTCATGGATGATAACAACCATTTTCACCCTGTAGTCAGAAATGCGAGCTTAGACACTCCAAGAAATTCACAACATTCTGGAAAACTTCCCACGACGGGCAAGTACAATTTTCTCCAACAAGAGCTCCTCAAATGCGTCACCGACTCCGTACACCGATAGTTTCAAAAACTTGTCGAACTTAAAGCAGCGGAATGAAAGCCTCCCAACCAACCTAGCTAAATGCAGTTGTTTGTAGGTAAGAGTAGCATGTCAAAAACAGTGCAAATCAAATAGCTTTCGCTGCTCTCTCGCAACGTAAGGAGGATCATTAAAACTACCAAAACACTGCCGCAGAAGATTTAATAAAAGACTCCAGCATGACATCGGTCATGGCTGCTCCAAATCACGCAACGCACCTAACAATCTACCAGCGCAGTAGCCTCGGAAATCAGTAACTGAAGCAGGTGATCACCCATTTGATGATCATAAATCAGAACCTGGACGAATCCATGGAATGAATCACTTAGCAGCCAGAGGAACATCCAGGTCATGTTCATGTGGTATCTTACATGTCAATTACAGTCAATGACGTACTCATGTGCAACGTCACCCAACTCTTGCCTGAACTGCCGTTAACCGGCATGCTCGGCCTAGGTAGCTACAGCTGCCTCTGTATGACACCGAGCTCAGGATTCCAGGGGACTTCTCCATAACCGTAGACATGCCAGCAGAGTGGATTTCGCTTCTTTTAAGAGAAGTCCAGGAAACACATCGGGACTTGAATGATGAATTATCAATTCATTCTCAAATACGATTCTACAATTGTTCATAAGTTTTTGTGCCAAGGCTTTGTGCCAAGGCCGTAAACCTGCCTCACTCTGGACAGCACCGTGTGGTGACACGTGTGAACCGCCGCAGCATCATGGTCGACATTGACGATGATGAGGAAAATATCTCAGTTGGTCGCCGCAAACCAATCTTCATGGCCAAAGTACCTGAATAAGCAGCAGAGAAGCCAAAGCAAAAAATTAAACCCATAAACATACTCCTCCATAAACTTGGATCGTTGCCTCCCTGTTCGGGCAAAGACACTGAGGGGGAGTATATGTGTTGATTCCAACCTTATCTGTGACTGGCGGGTTAAGGGTCTTGCTGTGCCAACTAAGACAGTGCCGCCAATGAAAACAACGACTGTTTGCTCAATCAGAGAACGACTGAGTTGCTTTCAACTAAGGTTAACTGATCATATATCAGAAAAAAACTTGGCACAATAAAAAAAAATGAGAAAGGTTGGGGCGAAACCCCACATGATAATGTGGAATGGTGGTATGGGCCAGCCTCAATGTCGATTATGCGAAGAAACCACAATAAAGGAGCCTCAAGTGACCGTCATTATGGCTTAAGAGGCGTTTAAGAGGTAATCTTCATGAGGATAATACCTGGCAACCACGAATCATCTAAAAGAAACCACACAATTGCTCAAAGGCATTTTTAAATGGATTATTTTCAACTGTTTGTAGTTCTTAATTAAACGCGGGAAGCCACTGACATAAACAACCCTCCAATAGTAACAGGAGATGGGAGCAGCCTTAAAGAATCAAAGATGTCGGCAACCTAAAAATGGACCATCCCAACCACGGGCTCCCCGATATCGACAAAAGAGAAGGCAGGCTAATCGGGGTACGTCTGCCTCGAGTGCTTATCGTTTTCCTATCACTCGTTAAAGTGTGTAGTCGGTCTTTTCTTCCCGGAACCGCTCGTTGATCGTTTTCTTCTGAAATTTATTATTAAAGAGTACTGGGTAAGTGCTCTATCAAATTCTGGAAGTGACTCAATGTTGATCAGCTATTCACGTTTAGATTGAGGGTAATTGTTGGAAATCCTGTCAGCTGACAGGCACCCACACATACACACGCGCGGCTCATCCATTCTCTTCCCACTCACGCACACCTGACGCGCTCACCTCGGATTACCGGGGTTATTAATTCGGACACATGAGACACCACGTCCTGGACAGCTCTATATTACCTTATGCAAATATATTAAATTAGGTCATGTGACCACTGAGTTAGGGCGCGTGGCACCTGCAAGCCCGTGACTCTTTCCCATTCGTTTCCGGGAACTTGTTAAAGGAACTACTCTCTGTACCGCTTAATTCTCGTGATTCGAATTATCATTATCGTGCCGGCTCAGTTATTCTATTTTTCTAAGAATTCGGTCCGCTCATTATTCCGGGTTATTAGTGACTCATTTATTGAGACATTTGTTATTGTGAACTTTATTTTGACAATATAGTGAATTCTGTGACCATGTGCACATGTGCGCTCATTTGTTGACCCGCTCATACCCTCCCGGAAATCCACCTACATCTCGCCCACCATTCAAAAATATTCCCACCAATCCAGATCCCTCAAAAAACAGTAATGGACGTGCAGTTAGAATGCTAGACTTGTATGTAAATTATCCGGGTTTACTTCCCGGCACCGGCGCTCAAAATTTATAGCGCTCTAACCTCACAGTTTCACTTGCGAGCAGTAGTACCGTCAAAGGGACGACTGAACCAGGGCAAGTTTTTTTAAAATCATATGTGCGTGAAACTCCGCCGGTTTCAGTGAAGCAACGACACATAGAAAGTGACGGGTTTCACACTGTAGTGTGGGACTCCACACATTGATTATATATCGACTCATAAAATCGCCTAGTCCCTCGTTATTATCGACATAACCCAAAATATTCGAAGTTTCATTCATTCATTCGATAAAAAAAAAAAATTAAATAGGCGATAACATCGTACCAGATAGTGACGCGGAGATGGATCTCTCAGGAGACTTTTTTGATAAAGATTCGGCATTCGTCACTGAAACAACTAGAGGTTCTCCGCCAAAGAAAATGCTCTGTCTGGATGATGAAAATGACAAATGAAATAAAGAAAATTTTCCACCAGAAATTTTAAAATCAGCACATGAAAGCAGGGATCACATGATTCCCTAACAATTTGGTACTAAATACAAGGGAGTTTATGAAACTTTCAAGGAGAGGGTGGAAGGAAATAATGTCAAAGAACTATTAGAAACAGTTGCCTTGGCTTATTTTGAACATCTCAAAAAGAAATATGCGCTTTCTACTCTGTGGGCAACCTATTCAATGCTGAAGAGTACGCTTGTAGCCTACGAAAACATTAACATTTACACCTACTCTCAATTATTGGGTTTCCTCAAACAAAACGAAAGAAGAAGAAATTCGTTAGTTCATTACTTTTGAAACAGATGATTAGTGTTCACCACTCGAGGTTACCAATAATAAATGACAATAAAAATTTCAGACTACATGGAATCAAGTCAACGGGCCGGCCTTATATTTGTCGCAATTATCAATTACAGGGAGAACTAATTTTTGGTGTCGTCGGGGCAAGCCGAGGTCCTAGAACTGCCAAATGATAGGATTTATTTTCTATTTTTCGCGATGTGAAATGTATTAATCAAGCCATGGGAATTGATAATCCAGGCGGCATCCCAAAGAAAATTGCTGAATTCCTGCATCTTCCAAATGCCAATGACTATACCGACCATGCTCTCCGCAGAAACTCTGCAACAGTATAGGCAAACGCAAGAAGTACCGTGTGAGGATTAAAAGAACTTGGAGATTGGAAATCTAGATCCAACAAGAGAAATACAAGTGCTACGATCACAAACGCCATCATGTGTACCTATTGTGGGAAGACTTCCAATCCTGATGCCAGAGTCATACTTGACAATTTCGTACAAGGAATTCCATGGCTCCCACCTAAGGATAATGTAGTTTCCACCAAATCAAAACACCATTGACAAATGTCGTTGATCTACAATCTCAAAGAAATCGACAATGCATGCTACACGTTTACCAAAATCACAAACATTCAAAAATATAACAATGGAAGACAAAGAAAATATAAAGGTATCTCAAATATTGGAGAAATCGTCTGACAATGCGTCACATTCAATTTCAGTAATTGCACGAATATAACTGTGAACATCAAGAAATAAAAAAAATATTCGCTGTTCTTCTTCATTTTAAAAAATTTTTTTCCCACGTTTATTACCAAAGTTTAAAGCATAGTTCATGTAGAGAAGATTCTTTTTGAAAATAAATTTTCAGCTCCGTATTTTGCCTCCGACCCCACACCCCGCGGGGCTTTGCCCGTCGACCGCACCAGGAACTTCATCCCTGGTCTCTACCAAGGGCCTTCGTCACCCTGGAAACCCTGCTTTCTTTCTCTTCGGGAATAAATGCGGTACAGGGGCATTGGGGGGG